CTTGTCTTCGCGTGGCGTCGGTATTTTATGTGCTCTGTGGACGTGCCTGGGCTATACTAACGAAGTCCCTATTACGAGGACGGACGGAGGGGGTAAGGCAAATGCGCAGCGGTCTAATATCCGCATACAGTCCTTGATTCCCTCTTTCCTCTTTGGCATAAAGTAATGCTGGCTGTGCTCGTATCGCACGGTATCTTTTCGGCAAAAAAGTGCGTTAATTACTATTGCTCTTTCCCGCAAAATTAGTCCTGGAGCCAAGCGACGCTAGACCACGTTTAGGGAAAAGTCGCCTTTGTTTCGTCAAGGACGAACTTGTGACAGAGCATGTGCGCCGTCCTTAATGCAGTTACCTATGCCACATAAGCAGACCTTGTCAAAATCAGCAGTGATTTGCTGAGACCCTTTTGCGCACTTTTTTTTGGCGAAGCAAAGTCTGTATCGTCTGTGTCGTGTCGTTAAGTCTGTGTCTGTGTCGTTAAGCTCTGCCGAGTGAGTGCGTGATTTTTTCGTCGCGCGCCAGGCACGTGCATAAATCCCTGCTCCCTCTCTCTCACACCTCAGCACTATCCTATGCAGCGTCCCCCGGCAGAAGGACATTCGTGTCGTTGAGAGCATTCGGACGTGCGTAGGAGCTCTTGACCACATCGGGGTCAGTGGTCAATGATCGCCTTGTGAGAAGCCCAACCAGAGGTTGTTTTCGTATCGGCGCAGGGTACCAGTAAGCGTGTGCCTCCGAAAGGGCTCTCAAGAAAGCGCACTATCTTTCCGTGAGTGCCAGTGCGCGCACACTGGCGCGGGACCATGTGTGGGTGATCGGTCAGCGGCCACCAGGCGAGTAGTCATTGCGGCGAGTCGCGCTACTTCTTGCGCGTCGCACTTTGCTTTTTCTCGCTACGTTGCCGAGTTTGCATTTAAGCTGTTTTGATGCTGCCTTGTGGACCTATGCAACTTGCAGCTGTCTTTGAAACTGATTTCGTGTCAAAACGCATGGCAGGTTTTCGGCGTGCAAAAAAACGCATAAGAGGTGTCATTTCTTTGTCTAATGCACATTGTCTCACATTTTAACACATTTCTCGCCCTGTGGCGTCGCTCTTTGTAATGCAGGTCGTCAATATGTTCCGCTCTAATGTCGCAGATTTTCCTGCTTTTTCGCATTCCTGGCGCTGGCACCGACGCTCGTTTGCATTTTGCTGCTTTGTTCGCACGGCCTCTCGCTCTGATGAATCAGACCCTCACTTCTTCGATATATCGTTGTTATGGCTAGCGGAGATTTCAGCCTATTAAACTTTTGTGCGATAGAGTGAGTAGCGTCTGTTTAACTCGATATTCGCAGTGTTGGAGCAAACACGTGGTCCGAATCAATTTTTCTTGAAAAGGGCCTCTCAAGCGACGTGCCTCGGCGCACTCGCCCACATCTGGGCGATCGGTCAGTGACCTCCATGTGGGACTGTGGGACTGCTCAGCTAATGCTGAATGTACACGATGGCCGCTACTTTTTTGCGCGACGCGGCTCCCTGTCGTGGTTTGTTTGTTATCGGAGCAGCAGTCCTGCATGTGTGCAGTGTGTGTGAAGCTGTCTCGCAGGAATGAGACCGCGCACTCTCTGTGCATCTTGTCAAAGCGCGCAGCGACGCCTTGGCCCACATCTGGGTCATCGGTCAATGGTCAATGCCGAGTGCACGCCACAGATTATCATTGCGCCCCGCTTCGCTACTCTTGCACGACGCACTCCACTTGTCGCGCTATTTTTGCCGTACGGGAATTTTGATTTAAATTTTCTTTGATCAGTCCTTTACTCGCTCATGCAACTTGCACATTGTCTTTGGATAACGGCGCGGTTATAGTTAGGTGTATCTCCGCTACAACTTTATGGCAGTAATTTTTTTTTTTGGAAAATGCATGGCTATGCAAACTGCTAGGCCAACAAGCAAAGTGCCCTGTCCAAATACATGAGCAAGTTTATGCAACGCACATTTTGCGAAAATATTAACTGCCAGCTTTTTGATCAATTTTTTTCGTTAAAGATTACCCCAAGTTGTAAGTAGATGCATGTCTTCTCACTCCGTTGGATGTCTCGGTCGGCCCTATATATCTTTCTCTCGCATTTACGCACACGCACTCGCGCGTTGTCTCGCAATGTATGGTGCAAGCGCTCGATTTCTATCGGCCTTTCTGGCGCAGGCCGATGCGCTCCCTGTCTTTTCTGTTTTCTGGAGCAGTCGCACACAATCTTGGCTAATTGCAGCGCGCTCGATTACTTACTACCTCTGAATTTTTGCCGTTGGACTCAAGCTCTCTCGCATTTCGGACGCACACCGTGGCTCTCCCTCGCATATGGCCGCAGTCTCTCATTCTCTCTCGCATTTATGGTGCAGGTTTATATGTTGGGCGAGCTCTTTTGCCATTTGCAGAACAATCTCTCACGCTCTTTCTGACTTTGCGGCTCTGCAGGCGCGTTAGGTATATCTTTGTAGGACACATGCAACGGATGCGCCCTGTCACGCCGACTCTTCTGTCAGCTGTTTGTACAGCGAATATCCGCAGCATATTTTAGTTAAAGATTGGCAAAAAAGCAGATTTTTCGTCTGCAATTTTTTTACTAACATACAGCTGAACTTAATTTTTCCTCACTTTTAAACTCATTTGTTGACACTTAAAGATTTTCTTTTGCCACTTTAGAGCTCGACTGCGGACACATGAACGTTGTAGTGTGCACTTTAGGTTACGTCATTTGATAGTTGAAAATTTTATTTTGCCCAAATTTTTTCATCGATAAATTTTTACAAAGAATAATCAAAGCAAATGACAGCGAAGCGAAAATATGGCTTTAATGTAAGAGAGTAGGGGATAAACAGAGTGATTATGAAGTTATTGCTGCACGGCATGTGATGCTTTCGAAGTGGGTGATGTCACTATTCTTCGTTCTTGGAATGGTCCGATTCCTCTCCTTGCACCGACTCTTCTCCTTCGTTCTCGGTAGTCGCCCCTTCCGATTCTCCGCCGGGGACGGGGAAGTCGTAGTCGTCTTCATCCGCGTCAGCGTTGAGTGGCTTCGACGACATCTGCTTCTCAATGTCGTTGCGGCTTGTCACGGTGATTTTGAGACATCCACCTAAAAAATAACTGACGTCTTTGTTAAAACTTTACGGGATATGCACATCACGGGGCATATGTGATGTGCACTCTTATTTAAACTGACACTTACCGACAAGTTCGGCCTCGAAGTCGTGGATATGGAACACCTCTGGGGGAAGGTAGCTCTTCGCCTCGTGGAAGCGAAAGTAAACCTCCGCTTTATGAAAGCCGTCGGTCAGCGCGCTTCCATAGCGAGGGCCATACCCGGAGTCTTCTTGCTTCGGCAGAGGGAGCAGGGTCGTCTTGGCAAGCAGCTGCACACGAAGATAGCCTTAAAGTATTAAATTAAATTTTCGAATCAGTCCAAAATTTAATTTTAAAAATTAATTTTACTAATTTAAAAAATTAGTTTAACTAACGATTAAATATTGTATTTAATGCTTGAAATTTTTTGAGTTTAATTTATTAATTTATGAATACAAAGCCCGAATATTTCCGTAAAATACCTTCAGTCTTTCCGTCCACTATGTCCTGCAGCATTACTTGCGCGACTTCCTTCTTGGCGGCCTGCTCTTCCTTCTTCGGTTCCTCCAGCATGAGCTTGAAGTTGTCGTTGATGACGTTGACCTCAGACGACTTGCCGAAGTTCAGCTGAAGCAGTCGGCCGTAGTTTCTGTCCGCGTACTTCTCGTCTTCCATCTGCGCGGCCATGATGCGAAACGAGACGTGTCGGCCCTAAAAAGGGGAAAACCAGCGCATGTATTGTTTTATTTTGGCGGCTTCGATGAATTTTTTGCCGGGAAATCCTGCCCATCCGGCGAAATCGATTTTTCGCTATTTTGTTACTTACCGCAGCGTCCTTGACAACGTCGAGAAGGCGGTGCGAATTTTGTTGCCAGCTGCGAACCTTCACGAACCCGTCCTCCAGCTTGACCACGCCGATGACGAGGTCGTACTGCGTGCGCGGCTCCGAAACAGAGATCAACGTGCCGTTGATTTTGCTGAAACTTTACGAATCTTGGCGCAGTCAAAAAAAGAACCTACTTTCGCTCGCTTCCAACCATTATGTCGGAAAGCTTTGACATAACGAAAGGTTTTTCGGCCTAAAATAAAACTCTCAGACTAAGTACATTAAAATACTTTTACCTTTTTCGGTGGGGGACTCGACGGAGGTTCGCTCTCGATGTTGGGACGCTTGGCATGCGCGAGCTTGGGCATCACTGCGCTTCTTCGAGGATGATAGCAAAAGGTAGATGACTGGTCTTCGCAAGGCGAGCTAACTAATACCGAAGCGGCGCGCATTTCCTTTTATTGGGGTAAATGTTTACGTTATCCACCTACCAGCTCCGCCCGAATTTGCGTCAAAGCATATTAAGATCTACATGCTGATAAGAGAGAACTTTATTGTATCGCACTTAGCGACCTTTTAATACAATGCTGCTCTGCCTTTATTCTCGCGTGTACCCTTGGATGGAGATATCTGGCCGCGTTCATTCATGAAGACTGTATCGTATTGTACTGGACAACAAAAAAGGACGCGCTCTTTGTGCCAGGGCGCCCTGACACATTTGCCATCAGTCGCGTATTAGTTGGCCTGCGCTTACTAAATCGACGAGTGACCTTTGTCATTACACGTGCAGCTTTTGCCTTCATTCACGTCATTGTTGCTCTGGCTCAATACTGCTTTTCACTGAGTCAACAACTCGCACTTCTTTTGTGCCAGAATCATCTACCGCTTTGATCTCATTTGGCCTGCCAATCTCATTGTCCACAGCCGAAAACATCACTTTAGGCGGGGCGAAAGCAGCCGTGCCCTACCGTATACCTCTTCCGCCCATTGCTGGCAGCAACGTTCGAGCTAATGTACTGTATTAACAAACTTTTAAAAAGAATTTTGCCAGTTTTTGGCTCTGCTGTTTGGACAAGCATCGATAGCTCAGCGGTAGAGCGCTCATCGTACATGAGAGGTCACAGGTTCAAATCCTGTTCGATGGCCTACAGTCGAAAGCCGCTTGAAAAATTTAGTTTTGCCGAATTACGAAGTTTTGTAAAATATTAGATAAACATTTTTCCAACTTATTTTAAGACACATAAATGTAAACATGCACAAACTGCGAAGACCATCTTGCGCTGGTACCCTAGCGTAGCGTTATTTTTCTCTTCTCGCTTTTGGTTGAGCGTATGAACAGTGTGACGAATTTGTTTCCATGTCGCTTACGCTGTCCCCTTCTTTGTCTGACTGTTCCAAACGTGGGTCCCCAAAATGGCCTAGCTGGCCACTGTGTATGGAATTCGAGTCCGTGTCGCTTGTGCTGTCTACTTCCATGTCTGACTGGTCCAAATGCGGATCACCGAAAATCAGCTTGCAGCCGTTGCAACCAATCCGTTTTCGGCCTCTCTGCTTTAGCAGTGCGTCTCTCCAAACAATATTTTTAATCGCAAAATTTGCCATTTTGTCCTCGGCCACTTTTACCTTTATGCCGTCCCAGCTTCGTACTCGGCTTATTGCGACATAGGTAAGGCCATGAGCAAAAGGCTCCAGTTCCAAATTTAACCCGATCTTTTCAAATGTGCTGCCCTGGCTTTTATTGATTGTTAGGCTATAACTTAGCCTAACGGGGAATTGCTCGCGGGTAAGCGTAAATGGAAATGAACCGTCGGTGCTTGTGCATTTAATCCTGGGAATAAACGCTTTTTCGCCGGCTTTTTCTCCGCTAACTATCTCACAGATCAGCACCGATGGTTTCATCGCTTTTAGCAAGAGTCTTGTCCCGTTTGTGAGACCCTGGCTAACGTTAAGATTTCGCAAAAGCATTAACGGCACGTTTTCCTTGAGTTTCAGCTCGTGTAGCGGCAGACCTGACGTCTCTAAACTGTGAACAAATTCGTCGGGATATGTTATTGAAGATTTTGGCTCGTCGATATCGATCGCGTCCCTGCTATAATAGGTCTTTATCTCGCCGTCTACCTTATTTAGCACTGCGTCGTTGATAGACTTGCAGGCGTCGTTAGTAGTGCAAAGAATGGCGCGCTTGGCTAGACCCTTATAGTCTCTACCTCTTATGCTTTCGCCGAAAATTTCCTCTATGAGGTCTCCTTTGCTAAATGCATGTGGTGGAAGCAATACGTCTGCGTCCTCTTCCTTCTGTAACTCGCCGTTTCCAAGTTTTAGCAGGAAGCTAGCAAATGATTTTTCCTCAGGCAACGCTCGCATATTCTTTTTAAGCTTTAGAATCTTCAGCTCTCCCATTAAATAGCTATTCTTCAGCGACAATCCAATCAGTTCGGTTTTTGATGCGAATCTTTTTACCGGTAAAACCTGCCTAAAGTCACCGGACAGCAGAAATACTTTTCCGCCAAAAGGCAGATCTTGATTGCCAGTCAATTTTATCAACTGCTTCAATCATGTACTTTGCGCACATAGGAGCTTCGTCCAAGATAAAAACGTCCGTGGCCAAGATATCTTTCCCGGCTTTACTATTTGGTTTCACTCTTGAAAGCGAATCTGGGTTCATTGGCACTGGCAGTTCAAAAGACTTGTGCAACGTTTTTCCGAATGGCAATAGCTGCGCGGCGCAACCGGTATACGCCATTGTCATGTACTTCCTGCCGTGACCACTAAGTAAGTGACAAAGGGCTTTGTACGTGTACGTCTTTCCACTTCCGCCCGGGCCATCAATGTAATATGCAGCTTTGGGCTTTTCGCCTTGTTCGATTCGCGATAGTTTCTTGAAAACTTTTTCAATGACTAATTTTTGCCGGCGATTCATCGTGTTTTTCATGGATTCACCGATTTCAAGTTCTCTGTGTCGATCAAAAGATTCTTCAAGCTCCTCAGCGGTACCCTCTGGGACCGCGATGCCGAATTTGCTTAAAGTGGTCCCTTCGGCATTCAGTAATTTTTCTAGGTGCAGCTTTGCCAACTGTAACGCATGCCTGTCGTCATACCTATTTGAATAATCTTCCGACAATTGATCACGAAACCTTTCCCACAGACTTTGCGCGTCTTTAGGTTCGCAAAATGCTAGGATTGTTGCAAATAGTCGTCGCAATTCTCGTGGCATTTTAAACTCGCTTGCCTCAGTCAAGCACTTTTCAAGTTCTTGGTCATCTCCTATTAGACCCATAGCTTGGGCAGCGTCCTTGTATTTGTCATAGGTAATGCCATTAACGGTGCGCGCGTCCTTGAAGCTTGTGATGCCTTTTTTGTGCAATAAGATCACCCGTAGGTAAAATGATTGTTCGTCTTTTGGATTCACACAGTACATTCGTCCAATGCACGGCTTCGCACCTTGCCCTCGTGGGGCCCATTTCATATTTTTTACTTCCTGCTCCCCTATGGCCTTCGTGACCATTTTAAAGGTGTAGTGCTCGGGAATTTCGTGGTATAAGTATTTTCTGGCGTTTTCGTCAGTCCTGTTTAACTCCATGTAGGCCGTGAGCGTTGAGTGTCGTTTTTCAGCCGCTGCAATGACATCCTCTAAGTTGTCTTCTTCGTCAAAGCAGATAACTTGTTCGCCAAGCATATGGACACCGAGTCTTCTAACAGTGTGAGAGATCCCGTACATGTCGAACTCTGATAGCCGCCAAAAAAAGCTTCATGGGGCGTAAGGTATCGCATATCAACGAATTTTTTAATTTCATCGCGTTCGACCTTTTCCTGCCCGTTGGGCTCAATCGATACCGTCACCGCATCAAAACCTTTGTAAACGTACTTGTACAAGTACTTCACACTTTTGACTGATGCGCACAATTCGACGTTCAAATGGGCGCCAAAGCGTGTGAGCAGGTACGGGTTGTATGGGACAACTGAACGGTTGTCCATTGGAGTCCCTTGTTTCCAAACTACATCCCCGTTATCACTTCTACGATAGTTTGCGTAGCTATCGTTTCCGAATTCCGAGACTTCACTGAACTGCTTGGGGTACTTGAAGCGACACTTCCCGTCTTCCATGCAACCACAATTCGGCTTCAGCCTGCCGCAAGGCCCATGGATCATAAAATCCTCCACAAGTTCTCTTAAACGGGGGTATTTGTTTTTATCCGGAAGTGAAGCCCACACGTACTTATCAATGTTGGCGGCGTCTTTGACCTTGCTCTCTGGCGCAAGGATCAGGAGCATGTGACAATGTGGGATCCCTCTCTTTTGATACTCGATCGAATAAGAGTAAGCCACACATTTCCCGAAAATTCCTTGTTTAGTTATCTCATGCAGCAACTGTTTCACTTTTAGCCGGAACACACGACAAACGATGTCTGGTACTTCTTCCGCTGTTTGCCCCGGTTTCAACTGGTCTTGAATTTCTTTCCAGTTTTTGTTGGCAGTGAATGTCAAAAACAAATCTGGTTTTCCAAATTTTCTGACAATAGCCATTGAATCCTGGTAACGCTGCTGGTAATTGCGCGGGCTTCCTGTGAATGACGACGGCAAGATATAATCTTTCCCCACGTGAGCCCCACTACCGCCAGCCGATTCCTTCAGATAGTCCGTCAGGCCTTTATACGATTCCACTTTTAAGATTTTTTTGATTTTTCCTGATGAAATCCAGCCGGTCCTGTTCAACCTTAACGTATGCATCTACCAAAAATTGCTGAAACAGCTTTCCGCCATAGTGGATTGGGCTAAAGACTGGTTCACCGCGTCTGCAAAACAAATACCGGTAGTACTGCGCCATAGTAACTTTTTTGCCACCTTCAGTTCGCATGTACAGATTCCATCCACCTTTGCCAGTTGGAAAAAATAGCGGATATATCATCGAATCACAACGCTTGTCGAACTTCAAGATCTGCTGCAGCTTTTTGCCTCTTTGATGTACCGTTATGCCTTCGTGTGGCGGCAGCTCGCCGTTTTCGTTTACCACGAAAATCGATGCTATCTCGTTAGCTCTGGGCATATTGTACCGCCGCTTGTCCTCCTTCTTCGTACCAAACAAAAGCTTCAACTCTGGTGGGTCTTGTCCTTTCTGTCTTGCCTTGCAAGCTTCCAATTCCTCTATCTCCTTCATCATTAGGTATGAGTCATAGTACGGACTTATTTGCCGCAGCAGCCGATCTAGTTCAGCCATGACCGTCTCGTTACATCCAGCGTTAGGGGCTATCGACATTCGGTGTGCCGTAGCCTCTGCCGTGTCAATTATGAAGAGCTGCGCATAAGACGGTGGTTCATTCGGATCGGGATGCATAGCAAGATTAACCGTATGGTAAATCTGACCATGTATTTTGTAACAATACGGTCCATAAGAATTGAATTCAACTGACTTGGCTTTCATGGAACCGAAGGCAAGAGCACTATTAAACTTTCGAATATGTTCGTGAAAGTTTGCGGAATACAGTGCACTCGAATTCCTTTCGAAAAGCTGTCGTAACTTCACCGGGTAGTCAGCAAAAGGATCTTCCATATACATCTGCCCCTTCATGCAACAAAAGTTGAACATGCCCGTGGCATTCCCTTCAACTCTTTCACCTTCAAAAAAGTATGCCCCGCACTTTTCGCATTTTTCTGTCATTTCACCAATCGAGAATTCCTCTGCTTCGATGACCGTAACCGCGTCATTATTGACTTGCTTTTTTGAATGCCTTGCTTGCTGACTGCGTTGTCTCTCTGTAGCGAGCCGATTAAGTCGTTGTTGTTCGTTCTCTTTTTGCCTATTGTTCGTTGTTCGGTTTCTTTGCTCTGCCAATCTTTTCTCCCTTGTCATATTGGACTCGTTTGACCTTTCTCGTGACGGCCCCAGTCTGGCTCGAGATAACCGCATGCGATTTCGCACAGCAGCCGTGGAGGTACTTGGCAACCATGTCTCGTCGTCGCTTTCCGGTTTCTTGCGTTTGGGCATCCTTTTGCTAAATCATTGGGCCCGGTAACTTGGTGTTTCGTTTACGTAGTCATGGCATGCAAAAGCGACAGGTTATTAACAAGCTAACAACAGTACTTTCGCGGTTAAAATGGCGAAAATGTCCAACGGCTGCATGGCCGCCTATGCCGATCCCATACGGCT